AAGACAAGATCAGAAAAATGTCATCCTCTAAAGCAGAGCCTATTCAAAACAAATGCACTGAGCCATCTGAAAAGTGGGAGACGGTGGGAGTGTGGAATTGCGGGTCTTAGACTTGAGAGCTGTGGCCAGGGAGTAAGACTCAGAAGCCTGAGTGACTTTAAGGCAGTCATCCCATTTATATGAGCTCAGTTTCCCCAGATAGGGCCATCCCTGCCCTACCAGCCTCATGAGGTTACAGTGACAGTCAAATAAGACAATGAATGTTTAATCTTGTAAAGTATAAATTAGGGCTAAATGGGTTTGAGACACGAGATATTTGTAAATGTTTAGATTAGGGTGTTGCCGAGTCATAATCAGAAACTGCATACTGTATTAAGACTTGGCATGTTTTAACTCATTTAATTCCCTCAATAACCTTAACAGGTGGATACTATTATCCCCATTTTGCAGATGAGGAAACTGAGGTACAAAAAAGCTAAATATTAATAAGTGCTAGGGATATAAGGTACAGCATGATCAATATAATTAACTCTGCTGTATGCTATACATGAGCATCTTAAGAGTTCTCATTTAAAAATAAAAAGAGGCCAGATATTTCCCCAAAGCCACTCAATTAGCAAATTAAAGAGTTCAAGTTTGATGTTCAGTCTGCCTCATTCTAGAGGCTAACTCTTAACCCCTACCCTTGACTGTCTCTTTAGAACATCCTATTCTATGTCCAGAATGACCAGTCTTCTGGTGTGTAATTTATTCTTCTAAGAGGACCTACTTATTAAGACGGCGTATTGTGTGCAGATTAAAGTCCCCAATTCTTGAATCTATCAGGGCATCTAATATAAATTAGCATATTTTCATTCTGGTCTTGGTTAATGTAAGTTTTTGCCTTTGGGTAAGCTGAGAGAATTCAGTTCCTGTGTCTGCAAAGCTGGAAGGAAGACCTTGGGCCTGTGGTGGGCTGCTCGCACCCCCTCCAGAGCGCCGCCCTTTCCTCCCTACTCCACCTGGATGGCCACCTCTTCTGGCCGCCACACAACCTGCCTCAGCACGGCACGTGTTTGCGCTGATACATTTGACCCTTGATAGTTCTAGGCATAGCTGATACATAACTTCTGGGATCGCTTACAAAGCAAGATGAGAACCATGACTTAAGAGCTGGCACCAGAAGCCCTCAGAGAGGAAAGAGCCTTTGCACAGGAGCATACTGTGAGATGCCACACTGGGCTGAAAGACGCAACCACAGGCAGGAGCCCAAGGCAGCAAAGGAGACTCGCCCCACAGCTTTGCCTGCAACCCGGAGAAAGGAAAATGGAACGGGAAGAGAGGAGCCAGGGAGGGGGTTTCGTCGGCGTGGGTGGACGCCTACTGCTCTGTCAGCAGGGGCGTGTGTTGTGGCCGGTGACCCCCTTCTGCACGTCCATCTCCCCATCCCGCACTCTTCGCAGTAAAGTCCACTGTGCTCAGGAGTGTCTGAGTGGCTCTGGGGTTTGGTAGAAATTGTGGAAGAGGATAGTTGCGTCCTAGGCTCACACATATATAAAAGAGAAACCCCCAGAATCCACAGCAATTATTGGCCCCACAGTTTCAAAGTTCCACAGGGCACTACATGAGGGCTCAGAATAATTTTATCTCCACGTCAAAGGGCCAGGAGGTCCAGCTGGCATCTGGGTTCTATTCACTGTCACCATCATCCAACTCTGGGCTGTCACTCATGCAGGCGGGCAGGGATCGGAGGTCTGGTCGGAGGTAAGAGGGGATGAGGATGCTGCTGTGGCAGGAACAGGAGACGGGAAGTTGGGTGAGAAGCCTGGGGAGGGTGCAGCTCCCAGCCTGAGCTTCTAAGAATCCTGGTTGATTCACTCTCCCCACCAAGACCTAATTCTACTCGTCTTTCCTTTGTCATTCAAAGGAACTGAGAATGCAGAATACTTGTTATTTGGGGGTCAGATAAATACTCTGGAGGAGTATTTGCTTGCTGTTGTTTCATGAGTTTTTCCTTAGACTTTCAGGACAGAGCTTGGGGTTGCGGTGCGGGAACAAACTACGCACTCGGGCACCTTACCTGCAGACAGAGGTCCTGAATCAGAGTCTTCCGTGACCTTCAGAAATATCTGTCAAGGAGGAAAAGAGGGAATTTGGGTCAGGCATGCCCCTCAGGAAAATCTAACCCAAGCTCAATGTTGTTGCATACTGCTTCATAAAGGGAAGAAAAGACATTGATTCTTTTTCTAAGAACATAGTCTTCCATAAACACAAAAGTGTATGCTGCGGATTCTGGGGGTTTCTCTTCTAAAATATGTGTGCAGACGGACAAAGGCAGGAGGAAGGAAGCCGGAAATGAAGCTAGTTGCTATGCTTGGGTGAGGAATTATGGCTCTTTGCCTTTACAAAACTTCCCTCTCGAGTTAGACTTGGGCAAAGAACCAGCTCTTCCGGTACCGGACAGAAACCAGCTGGAATCTCTGCCTTACCTCCTCCAGGGGAGTGTCAGAAATCCCAAAACTGCTGAGCCCCAGGTCAGCCAGCGTCTCCTCCAGCTCTCTGAAAAGGCTGGCGTATGCTCTCTGCTTGAAATTCTTATTTGGAAGAAGGAAGATGAGTTCTTGACCAATGCACTCCACCAGCTTTGCCTCTGGAACATGGTGGCGAACCATATCCATCAGCTCGTTCACATCCCCTAAGACAAGGGAAGAAGCTGACGTCGACTCTGTTTTCCAGAACCTGCGAGACCATGAGCTTGCCCAGGTCCCCTGCTTTCTTCTGCCTCCCATCTGAGGAAGGGGCTTTTCGTTCTTCAATAGTGGCTCTTGTGGAGGACTGACGCTCGCTCCATCCTGCCATGTTTAGCTTAGCTGGCCCCGTGACAGGCGCTGGAAGGGAGATGGAGATGGAGGTGGGAACAAAAGCGCTCCCCGCTAACTCACTGCAAACCTGGGGAGGTCATGTAACATCCCGGTGCCGGTTTTCTCCTTTGTTCAATCAAATGTTCTGTCCTTTACAATCTACATACCATCAGGCAAGTCATACTCTAGTCTCCTCATCTGCAAAAAGGGGGAAACAACAGCACCCACTTCATTGTTATCAGTGAGGCTTGGATGAGTTAATACACATGAAACATGAGAACCCTGTGCCTGGTGCATGGATGAGTGTCGGCTGCTGTTGCTAATCATGACCGTCATCTCAAGTGAGCAAGCTCTGTCATCACTGTTGCTCATTCTTGTTCACCACAAGACTGAGAGTTAAGTCAAGGCTGCTTTCATTTTCAGGGTGTGGCCCAAGCTGCAGGGGACTTGCCCAAGACGAGATGTTCATATGGATCTGGTGACCAAGCTGGGTGAGAACCCTCCTTCCTGACTCACACCCAGGCCTGGCCTGACTTTTTGGGGGACTGCATCATCCCCCTTGGGACTGCATCTGGTGTCTCAAACAAACGAACGAAAAATCTCCTCCATCCCCAGCTCAGAGGAAATGCAGAGGTGGACTGAGGAGCTGTGGAGCTGGACCAGGGGATGGAGTGCAGGGTGCACGGCATGGGGTGTGGGGACGTGTCCAGTGCCGAGTATGTACCTGATACCCTCATAAGTCAGGATCCAACTTCACAAACAAGCATGTGTTACTTTAAAATGAAAAAAAAATCTAATTAAAAAATGCAAAGCATGCATTTAAAGAAGCCGTTCCCCAGCACGCTCTCTTGAGAGGCAGGGAGGTCAAAGGGAGCAGGGGTCTGGGGGCTCGGGCCCCCGCCCCAGAGTGTTTCTGCAAGCAGACCACTCAGGGTCAGGGTCACCCCGTGAGTTCTTTTCTTTCTCTGTTTTAAAAGTGACTCATGTAGAGGGATTTCATGGCTTTCAATCCAAATCCTTCTGCCTAGCTGGACTGGAAGGCTTGTTTCATGTCAGGCATGCAAATTAGACTCAATTGTCTTCAGCAACAAGGTGACTTCATGCAGGGGCCGGAGGGCTCCTCGAGGGAGGAAGCAGCTCGGCCCTAACAGCTCTCTGGGGTCACGGTCATTGTTCTCTTAGGAAGGAAGTGGAGCCTGAAGCTGCTGGATTCCCAGGAATTGTGTCTTAGGCGTGTGTGTCAGCCTTTCCAGGGCAGCAGGGCTCTCAGGGCCTGGCAGGGAGGTCTGTGTGTGTGTGTGGGGGGGGGGGGGGCACGTGGGTGTGTGCGTGTGAAAAGCCTTCCCAGGGGCTACTGGGGATTGCAATGATCTTCCTTCTCGTACCTGGGGCACAACTACTTACTGAGCTCCCCACCGTTCACAGCATCCCTCTTCTATTCAAAGAAAATAAACCGTTGTTTAGAAATGAAGTCCTACTAGCCAGCAGGCTGTTTCCAACTTAATTTTGGTGCATAACAGTAATTAATTGTGTTCATTTAAAAACCATTCAGAAAGCAGAGAGGGGGCCTCAGCAAGGCAGACTAGGGAAAAACAGAAATGTCCTGAAAAGATGTGTTTGTGTTCATGATGGGTTCTGTCAGCGCAAAGAGAGGGTGAGAGAGCAAGCTTGACGCAACTCTGGGCATTTTCCCTCAGATTTTAAGCATAATTGTCTAGTTTTCTTGTTTCACCAGATTTGGGTTAGAAAAAAATTTGTGCTAAGTAAGAAACTTTGTTTTTCTTTGCTAAGCAAACACACCCCCTCGTTAACTTGGATGAGTACATAGGTTTAATTTTGCTCCCACTTAGGAATACGATGTGTGGGATTCCATCTGCAAGGACACCCCCAGGAGAAGGACGAGAGGCAGGCACTCATGGAGGACGGAAAGACTTGTTGACAAGCACTCTGGGGCCAGGAGGTCAGGTCCTGACGGGATGAGCGCTTCTACAGGGAGAGCCTCTCTTTGGTGTCTTCCTGGAGGTTTAATGCATCCTCACCCAAGCGAGAATAGTGGAAAACTGGGACTGCGGGGAAAGCTAGGGGTGTAATGGGGATGTGTGACATCCCACAGACTTGGCAACCATGCCGTGCGACCTGACGCCCTGGAAAAGCGCACTGTGAGGGCCGTGCGTCACCACGGGCGCATCACCGCCATAGGGCTCCGTTTGGCACCTTTAGGAGCTCTTCTCGCCAGACACCGAGGAATGTGGCTTGGAGCCAGGAAGGAGGACCCCGGGAATGTGGGCTTACTATGGACAAGGGCAAGGAATGAACAAAGACTGGATTCCTCGTTAAAGGTAGGCCCATGACCCTAAAATCCCTTGGGGAACAGAGGAGGAGAACGAAGCTCACAGAAGAAGAGGGGCAACTGCATGACCGTGGGCTTGAGAAGCACACAGCGTGTTCTCTTTATTTGCGTCAAAATGCACGACAACAGAACACAGCTAAGACCACCAAGAGATGATTGCCGGACAAGAACCAAGCATGGGCTGCCCCAGTCCTTACCGTCCAAGGCTTGTTCGGGAGCTAAACCGTCAGCACAGGCTGGACACCTGGTGGAGAAACCCTTGGAGGCACAGCCGCAGGGCCCCTACGACAGAGGGACGTCAGTCACTCCCATGACAGCATCTCCCTGTGTCCACCGCTGTCACCACCAAGCTTTGTTTGTTTCTCATGCCAAGCGTGGTCAACGCATTTTTCTTCACTGGTTTAATCTCTTACTTCATCTGAACATTTTGAGGGTGTGGCTGTTTGATTTCATCCTGGAGAGCGTGTGAATCAGGCACGAGGGAACCTCAGAGGATCCCTCTGGCCCGTTACTGCTCATGTGACAGAGTAGGTCCACCTGTGCAAGACGTCTGACTCCTCCCTCCCCGGGGATGTGTGCTGGGCTGTGGAAGTCCACCCAGGACAGGAAAATCCAGAAGCAGCCAGACACAAACTACAGGGGCTGGAGGCGTAAATAATGCTCAATAAAACAAATGGGACGAGGCAGCTGGAGCATGAGCAGTGCCTTCCTCAAGGAGCTCTGAGCACATGCGTGATACTTGACCCTCACCACATCCCCCAGAAGCAGAAGCAGCAAATACCAGTTCCATTTTCTACATGGACAAATCCCCAGCAACAATGAGGGATTAAGTAATTTGCCCAGGATGACACAGTATGTTCACCTGCAAGCTCAGACTTGAATGTGGGGCTCCTGACACGCTGTGATGGTCTCTGCTGGCTGGTATTTTTCCCTTCATCGTTTTCAGGTTATAGTTACCAGGGAAGCTTTTTATTAGCTTTCATTTACCAGTAAATTTTGGGTTTAATTAGGGAACATAATGTTGGAATGAAAAAAGGAAGCTTAAATGACTACTCTCCTTTAAACAGCGTAACCTTGCGGAGTAAGACCCTCCCTTCTGCGCTGCACCAAACCTCCTGTGTAGTTTAGGAGTCTTGCGTGTAATGATCTCAGGTCATTTAAAAGCAGGCCTTTTACTTGGGGTAAAGCATCTGTGTAGGACAGTTCAGAATGTCCTTTTATCAAAATCTGCAAATGGTTCCAGAAACAAAGAGCTCAGTTCTGCTGGCTGGAGCCTGATTTGGGTAGAGATGTCTGGAATGACAGCGCCACCCTGTACGTCCCTTCTCAGCCAGGATGGGCTCTTCCCCTGGACAGACACATACCTCGCAGCCTCTTTCTTGGCTCTGGACAGTTTTCATCTTGCGCACCAAGGTGAGGTAGAAGCCTGTGCCAAAGCAGTTCTTCAGGAAGAGCGGGGTGCCCGCGCAGTAGAGCCGTCCCTGGGAAATGATGGCGATGCGGTCCCCGAGGAGGTCGGCCTCGTCCATGTGGTGAGTGGACATGATGATGGTTCTTCCTGCAAGGCAGGGGTCAGGGGAGTCACCTGGCAGGCCTGGGCCGGGTGTGGATGAGAGAGGATGTACAGCTCCCTCCCTGCTACACGGGTTACAAAACCAGGAGTTAATAAATAAAAACAAGCTCTTTGCAGCACCGTCTAGAATACTAGGATAGCAATGGCAGCAGCTAGTGTTTCACGGCATCCTGCGTGCTGCAGAGCGCTGCTCCACAGAGTGTCTTCTCATCAGGCCCAGGGCCGGATGCACATAAATCACCGCATATGGGACGTATTTACTGTCAGTCAACATCTGCTGGCTTCTATATGTGTTACTCCGGTCACTGAGCACTGCATTTATTTTTTGTTGTTGGAGTGTAGGCAGTTTACAGTGCTGTGCTTCTGCTGTGCAGCATAACGTTTCAGTCATACACGTACATACACATACTCCTTTTCATACTCTTTTTCACCATAGGTCACTACAAGATCCTGAATATAGTTCCCTGTGCTCTACAGTAGAAACTTGTTGTTAATCTGTTTTATATATAGTAGTATCTGCAAATCTCGAACTCCCAACCTATCCCTTCCTACTCTCTTTCCTCCGTGGTAACCCTATGTTTGTTTTCTATGTCTGTAAGCACTGCATTTGTAGTCTTTCCAAAACACACACACACACACACAAACACACAAGCACATTCTTTTATAATAGCTGGAGATGTCATTAAAGGAAGACAGTAATGAGGATTCCAGGATGGCAGATCGACCACAGGCTTGCACACATCGTCACTTTCACAGGCACTCAGCTCTGCTTGCTGTCTCTTCTGGGTCTGCTCCTCTGGTTGGCAGGTGCCACGACAGAGGAGGGAAAGTCCGTGTCGAGACATTTCCACCAGCAGCAGTCCTCTGTAGCAATGCGTACAGGCTCATCGCCCTCACACCTGGTTTTTGTAGGTGGCTTGGGTCCTCTTAGTCAAAGGCGAATTTCACCTGGTGCTGCCCTCTGTGTTCCAGACAGAAGGGCAGCAGGTTAAAAGAACTTCCGAGAGAATTTTGGGAAGGAAGCTGCTTCATCAGTAACTCCCTGCCTGTATTTGTGTGAAAAATCTCAAGAGATTTCCCTGGAACTCAGACTCCCCCAAGTGAGTGAGAAAGCGCCGTCTGAATGCAGTGATGGCTGTTACTGCACAGAGCTGCAAAGCACCCTGTGTGAAGAGCGGCGAGCACACATAAAGCCCCAGAGCACACAGGCGCTGCGCGGTAGCCCTTACCCAAGCGATACTTCAGGAGCAGGTCCCAGATGGAGCGCCTGGAGTAGGGGTCCACCCCAGAGGTGGGCTCGTCGAGAACCACCACCTTGGCATCTCCTACGAAGGCAATGGCAACGGACAGCTTCCTCCGCATCCCACCTGGAAGCACAGGCGTGGGGTCATGGGGTGTGGAGGGCGGGACGAGAGCGAGGAGGGTACCTTAGATCCTGCACGTTCAATGCTGCCTCCTTAGATGTTCACATACAACGTTCAAAACCCTAGTGGGACCAGCCTCATGGTGCAGAAAAGAAAATCCCTGCCTCCTAGGATCAGACCACTTGAAGACGGTTCTCACCTTTCAGTTCAAACACATAAACATCACAGCAAATACAGCCCAGGCTGCCGCAAGATAGCATCCCATGTGGGACATAATCCAGAGGTGGGCGGCTCGTAGATGCTCAGCATAACTTTATAGAATGTTCCAACTCTTAGAAGCTCTCCTGTTGTAAGCCTAAGAATATACACACACACGCACACACACACACACACACACAGCCCTGTTCCCGGGGAGACAGTGGATGTGCCATCCGAAGCCCTGTCTTTCTCCAGCACCAAACACCTGATAGATCCTGAGCTTCCTCATTCCTCTTGTGGTGGAGGCCTGTGTCCTCCAGCATGGCTTCCACCTCCAGCTGGGCCTCCTCCCAGGACCTCCCTTTCAGCTGGGCGTAGAAGAGGATGTGTTCGGCCACTGTGAGGCTGTGGGGACGGGGCAACGAGAAAGGCAACGTGCTTAGCAACTCCCCTTCAGGAAATCTGCCTTACAGAAATAATTGAGGGTGAGCAGAAGGATTTAGCCGTCAACATGTCCATCGCGGTGTTGCTTATAATAGAAAATGAGACGAAAAGCCGACCCTGCCAAAATATCTAAGAGGGCACAGCTTAAAAAGCACATCATACAATGGAACAGTATGAGTATATTAAAAATTGCTTTCTAGAAGAATATGTAATAGCATGAAAAGATGTTCATGGTATCTTAGGTCAAAAGAGCAGTCACATTTAAAAAATAGCAGGTTACAAAGTTGTATGCAGAGTTTTACTCTCTTTTATAATTAAAAAATATGTATCCATACATGCACTAGAGAAAGGTCTGAAATATTCTATATCAAGGTGTTAACATTGGTTTTCTCTGGGTGGTGAAATCACAGATGACCTTTATTTTTCTTGTTTTATTTTATATTCCCTTCCTTCCTTTTCTTCCCTCCTTCCTTAATTCTGTATATAACTTTTTAGATAAGAAATAAAAGTATGGAAAGAACCAACTGAAGAGCCTGCTGAAAAGTCCATTTTTAGCACCTGGCTTAAGAGGGAAGAAGGAGCAAGGGTCTCCTGTACGGTCGCTGAGAGGGACTAGACTTCCGGGCAAACACTGAGCAGGGGGCCCTGGGCCCAGCCACCCCGACAGAGAGAAGGCGGCATCACTCTTCTGAGCAGGAAGACCTCAGCTCCGAGTGCCTGAGGCACGGTCCTAGGTTCTGAGGGACCTTCTCATTGCAAGCAGGACAAAAGACCTTGAATGTGGATGAGCTGGCCTGGGAGAACACGTTGCTGGGGGCAAGGTGAGGGCGAGGCAAGGCGAGGCAAGGCGAGGCGAGGGTCTCAGTTCCTGTTCTACTTACTGGTGGAACAAGATGTTGTGCTGTGGACACATGCCAAGGCTCTGCCGGACTGCATCCAGGCTGGTTTCAATGTCCTTTCCCCCAATGAGCACGGTCCCAGATGTCGGGGGCAGGAGACCCGTCATGATGGACCTGCCAGACGCAGAAGTCAGGGGCAGAAAGGATGGCCTTTAGGAACACCTGGGGATGGCAGCCCCCACCCCAGGGCCGGTGAGGACGCTCACAGTGATTTCCACCTGTGCCTCTCATTAAACCCAAGCCATCATTAGCTGTGGGAACAAACAGTTTCCCACAAGAGGCTTAGTGCTCGTGTGCATATCTGCCTTCCCTCTCTGCTTCTGCTAATTCCCAGTGCTCCCAGGCAGGCAGCGATGATTCCCAGCTGCCCAGTGTTCACTTGCAGCCAAAGAGCCCTCCCCAGGCCCCCTTGCAGCCATCACAGCTCCCAGCTCCGTTAAAGGTATTCAGTGCAGGGGTCAATGCTTTGCCTGACGTCACCTTACAAAGGGCTGGGTCTTGCCGAGACGCCCAGGCACTCAATGTGCATGTGTTGACTCATCGATGGAAGCCAGGCCTGGGAATTACCACCACGATAGTTCTGGATCCAAAAGTAATAAAAAGCCCAATAACAACGTAGAGGTTTTTTTTTTTTTTTTTTTTGGAAAATGAGAAATGACAACTCTCACCTCGTGCTGTTGTTGTGGGGATTAAATGAGTTAATACCTGTACAGGGCTTAGAACAGTGCCAGCGCAAAGCCAGACTTAAAAGTATTATACAACTTTTATTAAACATTGTGCTTCAGCCCCCAGGGGATGTTGCATTTCACATTCATGAAGTAATGTGTTTGCCTTTGGGGTCCTGAATGGGGCTTCGGGCTCTCTGACCGTATTAGCTAACAAGGAGGGAAGTGGGATGGGTCAGTGCTGCCCCTCCCAGCACTGCCTCTGAGCTCAGGCTCGCTGAACTCGTGCTGAGAAGCTGAAATCTCTGTTGATCGACCGCTAGAGGGAAACAGAACCAAATATAATGGCACCAGCCCCACATTCCATTCACACTGAACCGCCCTCGGGAACATTCCAACGCAGGGTGTACACTGCTGTTCCTTCCTGGGGCTCTGTAAGAAGCCGAAGGACTCGCAGGCTGGGTTCACAGGGCTCCCTGGCCCTGGAGGGGGCCGCCACGGCTGGCCCTGTTCTCCTTCTCAGCAGCTGGAGCTCAGGCCCCTTAGCAAAGTAAGGGGCGCTCCCTGAGCTGAGGTCCACGCAGAACCTCCCCTTCCCTGAATGTGGTCTTCAACTCCCAGGAACCCACAGTCCCTCTAGAGACTGCCCCCTTTTACCTTCTTCCAGAACTACCACCAACCTGCACAGGTAGGAAAAGGGATGCTCTCGGAAGATAAGCAGTGCTCTGCAGACCAAGGGCATGTGATGGTGGTGGCCATGACTTTAGCACAGCCATCATGGTCCTAGTGCTGGCGAGCCTGGGGGTAGGGGACGGGTCCTCAGCATCAAACACAAGAGACAATCATGTGAGGACCTGGCTCCTGCCTTCACTGAACCGTTACACCTTGGTGACCTTGGGAAAGTCACTCAGCTCTCTGGATGTCCACTTCCCTGATAAACCCACGACTCCACCTCCCTCCCCAACTTCACTTGAGGGTCAATTACAATGATATACGAGTGTAAGCTCTGAAAACTGCAATGTGCTTTACACATTCCTGGGACACAAATACAGAGCATATTTCTGTCATTAAGATTCAGTGGGAAAGAGTAGGCTGCAGCAACAGAGGAAGAATAGAGCCAGAGGATGACAGCACAGAATGGAGACCCCAGCCTCTTTGCCTGAAGACTCACAAGGTAGTGGTTTTCCCTGCTCCATTGTGACCGAGGAAAGCGGTGATCTGGTTTTCGTAGAAGGTAATGTTAAGACGGTCCACGGCTGGCCTGCCGTAGGGCTCAAAAGTCTTCACCAGATTCTTCACACATACTCCAGGAACCAAGCCTGGAAGCTCACGTTCAAAGAAGCAGTCTTGTTGGAGAAAATAAACGTGCTGTAAATACAACGCTTTAACGTACACATTCCCCACGGTTCTTTTTTCAGACCACTGTCTTCTGCCCACGTGGCTTTAGCTATGACCTTTGTAAGGAAGACTATCGAAGAGCAATGGCGACAACAACATCTAACAGTTATTGAGCAGTTACTCTGTGCCAGGCACCGTTTCACGTGCCTTATACGGATTTCCTCATTTCACCCTTCCAACAGCCCTAGGGAGGTAGATTCTACTGTGCCCATTTCTCCAGGGGAAGAAACCTAAGACACGAGACATCAAGAGTCTCACCAAGGTCACACAGCTGACGAGTGGCAGACCTGGGGTCAGAACCCAGAGAGCACTCACTGTCTGTAAGGAGAGCAAGCCCTACGCTCACCTTCAGCCCCAGGCCTGTGCTTCTGACTCATTTCCTCATGGATTCCTCGTAACAGCTCAGGCTCCTCATCTTCTTCCCCAAACAACCTTTTCCTTCAGACTCTCCTATCTCCAAGCTACCATTCTCCTAGTCACCTTGGCTCAAATCTTTAAGTCAACTCCGAGTAAAGCTGACTTTTTGCTCCTCAGAACTCCAGACCTTCTCCAGTTAACTGGGGAGGGCAGTCCACTCCTTCTCAACCCTGTCCCTCAAACTCTGTCCCTCTGCTGATCTCCTCCCACACTCCCCTCCGGCACAGACCCTCATTACCGGATGTCCACGTCTCCCTGGCCTCCAGTCTCTCCTGCTCTAGTTCATCCTATACAGAACTGCTTAATCTGTCATCTTAATATTGTAGTTCTGAGCACTTACTCCCCTGCAAAAAAAGTCTCAGTGCTTCTTCTCTCTGTGCCTCCTGACCTTGCCTATAACTCAGGTGGGGCCAGTCCTTAGCCTCCTGCTCCCGGTCTTGGAATTCTACTCTGGGAGAAGGGTCTTCCCACAGGCTCGGCTGACTGGAAGTCAGCTCTCTTAGGAGCCACGGGTCTCTGACCTAGCTTTGTGAAATGGTGCCTGGGGTGGGCCAGAGGAATGGAGGATGGACCCTTTCCTGCAACACCAGGCAGAGTCCAGAGGCCATGCTGCCTCTCTAAGCCCGGGGTAAGGACAGCAAGAGGACTTTAGCATCCACAGAGAGATTCTAGAGGAATGTATGTGCTTAGGAGTAGAGAATATGGGGAGAAGTTCAGCACTGGTTCAAGAGGGAAGGTAAGGGAGGCAAAGGCCAGGGGAACACTTGCAGACTTAGCCATGAGTTGAGGAATTATTAAGTAACTTCCAGGGTCAAGAAAGGCTTCTGATGGCTTGAATGAATGGGCTTCCAGATTTGTAAACCGCAAGTGAAGCACAGTCAGCTCCACTAGACTCTTTCCCTCTGGGCACAGAAGCATTTATTTTTGTCTTTCCTTATAGCTCATATCCGCTTTAAGTCCCAGTGACCCAAGTTATTGTTCTTGCTAAATCCTCGGAAGTCAGCACATTTGTGCAACTCACTTGGGGTTTGCCTAACAAGGGCACAAACACCCCACATACTTGGGATCTGCTTTCTCCAGGAAACGTGTGTTAATGTCTGGCTGGACCCACCATTCTGCACATGTGCAGCTGGGCCCTTGAGAAGCTGTCAGATTTAACCCTTGTCAGTGGAGACGGTAAGTTTCCCAGGCTCCACTTCACCCCAGGCATGAGGTGCTTTGCTCTGGCGCTTTGCAGTGTTCTGAGACTTTTCCTTGCCTCTGCTCTGCATTCTTTATTGAGGTGTTTGTTTGTTTGTTTTACCTTTTATTCCCTCTGGGTGTTCCGGGTCCTCCATTTCCTCTGTTACAGGTTCCGTTTTTTCCAGGGCCCTTTCTTCTCTGGTCGAACACCCTGCACCAACCAGAAGCCACTGTTACTCTCCTGGTGAGAACTGAGAATCAGTAAAGGGAGGAAAGGAGGTGAGAAGAGGGGGGAGCAGAGTTTCCTACCATAGCTGGAAAACACCATTCTCAGAAGGCCAAGTTGGCACTCCCAGCATCAGCCCCAAGGAGGGCTCCGCCCGCCTCTGACCCGTGGGTCTGTGAGGTTCCGACAGTGGCCTGCAGGGCCTCCCAGCTGCCCAGAGGGAGTTTTGTAACAGAAGTTTCACTCACCATCCTACCACGCCAGGAGGGGCCCACAATGTCAGAAATTGTGATTAAACAGAAAATGAAGAAAACCAGGATTGATTTTGAAATGGGTTAATTTTCTTTAGCTCACCAACTTTTCCCTCCAAGCCAACACATCAAAGTCATGGTGAACCTGGAGTAAAAGTCCGTTCAAGCTGCTATGATGAGCAGCCAGATTGAAAAACGGTTTACCTGAGAAATCTGCTTTTATGGGTATTCATGTATTTGGGGCTTAACACCAGGGTTGAGCCTCACTGACACACAGGCTTGTGCAGATTGTGAATTGTGGTGCAAACACACACACATTCTCACACTCACACATACTCTCTCACATACAGCCCCCCACCCCCTGCACAGAGGCACTTTGGCTCTCAGTTTGCAAGGACGGCAGGACATCCTGGAAGGGGAAGAGGAGCAGAGGAGGGAGCCAGCCGCAGAGGAAAGCAGGGGCAGGAGGAAACCACTGCTGCCAAGCGTCTACAGGTCTGGCCTCGCATGCACACACGTGGGCAGGGTGAATTTTTAACGCAGCAGCCAGCCAGGGCTTCTCTCTGTCCACACTGCCCTCGGTAGATTTTCAGGCCGTGTGGTGCAGTTGTAAGTCATGGGCCTGGTGGTCAGGGACCCGCCACCGCCCGTACGTCTATTTCTGTTTCCTGAAGGACTTTTAGATCTACTGCCCGCAATTTCTTTGGTCTCTTCCCTTGCCATCTTACTGCACTAACGTGTAATAATGAAACAGCAGGAGGAATATTCTTCCAGTCATTGGAGTGAGTTCCTGGCCAGAAAATATGTGTCCCAGTTCAAGAGTTTATCCCAAGTGACCAACAGGAACTTGAGTGAGACAGTGGATATCTCTTGGGCTCCGTTCCTTCACTGTGAAAGGAGGGGGTCAGGTGGGAAAACTCAGCTCTTCCGATTTTAGAGAGATTTAGGAACCTACTTCAGTCTAGCCTGTGAGACAGGTGAAAAATATTTGGCTTTTGCTGGCAAAAATATTATGTGACTCATTTTTGAAGGAATACATTTGTCTTGAGATTTTTTTTTTTTTGAGTGGCAGAATATCTGCTGAGATCACAGAGGGAAAACTGCCCACAAATCCTGGTATTCACTGAAATTGGAAACATTCCAGGAGCAAACTTCTGTGTTGAAAACTCCCATTTGCGTTGTAACTTTATTACAGCAGACATTTAAAAGGTTACAGATAGACAAGACAGACAAATCGACATACAAAAAAAAAAAAGCCTGAGCTGTTGAAGTGCTGTTTGCTTGAACCATAAAAAAAGAAAGTCTCCCCCTGCCCCCCAGCCACCCAAGCCCTTAAAGGCCCTAGGCCAGTCCCCTAGAGAAAGCAAACCACCTGTCCTAGTGCTGAAAGGGCAAATCCTGGCCCAGGCCCAATCGTACAAAGCAAAGAGCAGGCAGGTGAGGAACAAACAGTTTGGAAAGTACTTCCTTGGCTTCCAGAAACTCCTAGCTCTAGGGGAGTCCCCTGCTCCCAGCTCCGGGATTTCTCTGCCGCCTCATGCCTCACAAGAGTCTGTGGTTTCCCCTACTTCTTGGCCTCCTGTCCTGTTCAGGAGGAGAGGCACGTTTTATCTATGATGCCTTCTGGGCCACAGTCCGTTTAGCCCTCTTCCCCAGCCGCAAGAGAGACCAACACTAAGAGAGTCTGGGGATACTTGCCTGGAAGATCAGGGCTTTGCCCCAGCCTCCGCATGGGCCCTTACCTTGGGAGAATAAATTCAATTGTATTTGAAGAAGTGAAGAGAAATAAAGAAGCAAAAGAGGGTAGGCAGCAGATGAATGCAAAGGCACTTTGTGAGTCTCTGGATCTGTTTGCTTTAAATGAGAAGCTGCAAAAGTCATTTGCACCCTGAAGTGGTTTAGCCTCTTACTAGTGCAATTTACTCCACTGGGCACAACCTGTACAGGACGCAAGGGTTTACCAATGCTCTGCCACTCACCCTGGCCCAGTGACTCAGAAAAGGTGGGCTACCAGAGGCTGCACCGAGGAGCAGAGCCCCCAGGGGACAGCTAACCAACCAGGAACTGCACGCTTCGTGTAAGAGCCATCTCTACAGCCACACACATCCCATGCATATCCAAAGGGGTGGATTTCAAACGTTTAAGGTTTTTTTTTTAATTAAAAATTAAAAAAAACTCACCTTCACCGCCAAGCCAGTAAGACTCTTGTAGAAGGAAGTACCACGGGAGTGGGGTTCCATAGTCCCCTAAAAATAGACAGGCATAGAAAAGGCTAAGCAGTTTCACCCACCAGCTCCGTCAGACCTGGAATTTGTCCACCTGCACCGTGGATTACGGCGATAGGTATTTACATCTCGTACGCAGTGCACGGCTTTCCATGTGCTTCCTCCAGGACTACTCCTTCCAACGTGGTTTAATTCAAAAGGTCATGTTTCAGGGAGTGAACCCAACAACACTAAGACTGATGATCTTGGCTGACGTTAGTTTTCCAAGAAAACATTTCATTAAAGAATTAAAGCACGCCTTTTTCCAACAGTTACCCAATAATAATGATGATGACAATCATTAACATTTGTTGCATGCTCTTTCTGTGTCAGACATTACTGTGAGCACTTCCCATGTGCTAAATAACTCACTCCTCAACACAACACGAGCGGATAGGCAGCACTACTGTTCTCATGAAGAAGGAAGTTAAGGCACACTGAGTTGGAAGCATTTGCCCAAGGGCACAGCTAATTGAACAGAGGTACGGCAATTCCAACACAGGTATTTTGATTCTAATACCACTGATCTTAGCCACCCCATTCTACTGGGTCTGTCTGGGTTTCAAGGGAAATACTCCCAAACTCCTAGTCCAGTTCTCTTAGCAGGCTTTGCTCCTGTGAATGTTGATTCTGCGAGAACACTATCTTTGTTTAATAATTATCCTGTGTTTCATGGCCAAAGCTAGACGGTAAGCTCCTCAAGGGCAGGTCTATACATTGTTATGTAATGTTTCCATTTTTCATTTGTCTCAAGATTTTTTTTAAGTTTCTTTTTTGATTTCTTCTTTGACTTATTGGTGAAGCAATAGCATGTTAGTTAATCTCCACATATTCGTGAATTTTCCAGTCTTCTTCAAGTAATTAATTTCTAGTTTCATATCACTGTGGTCAGGAAAGATGCCTGATATGATTCAAATCCTCAAATTTTTAAAGACTTTTTTGTGACATTACACACGACCTATCTTGGAAAATGTACTGAGTGCACTTGAGAAACATGTGTTTTCTGTTGCTTTTGGATGGAATGTGCTGTGAATACCTGTTAAGTCCGTCTGGTCTAATATATTACTTAAGGCCAACGTTTCCTTACTGATTTTCAGTCTGGATGGTCTGTCCACTGAAGCAAGTGGGGTATTACAGTCCCCCAGTATTACTATATTGCTGTCTATTTCTCCTTTTAAGTCTGTTAATGTTTGTTTTATATACTCAGGTGCTCCTGTGTTGGGTGCATAAATATTTACAAACGTTATATCCTCTGGCTGGATTGGTTCCTTTACCATGATGTAATGGCCTTCTTTGTCTCTTTCTACAGTCTTTGTTTTTAATATCTGTTTGTGTGATATAAGAACAGGTACTCCAGCTTTCTTTTGGCCTCCGTTTGTATAGAATATCTTTCCCCATTCCTTCACTTTCCATCTGGGTGTCTGTACATCTAAATTGCGTTTGTGGTAGGCAGCATATAGATTGGTTTTGGCATTTTAGCCGTTCACTCACTTTATGTATTTTTATGGGAGAATTTAGTCCATTTACATTTAAAGTAATTATTGATAGGCGTGTGCTTACTGCCATTTTAAGCGCTAAGTGTTTTCTATCTGTTTTTGTAGTTCTTCCCTGTTCCTTTCTTCTTCTCTGGCTCTCTTCCTTCGCAGTCTGATGACTTTCTTTATTGGTATGCTTAGTTAGACTTCCTACTTTCTCTCTCGTGTATTTACCTGGAAAAACCTGGTCAAGATACCAGGCAAGCAAACCATAGAGAGCAGCATCCAGGAGCATCATCTTCATGGACATCAGAAAGCTGAATTCATCCCCTTCCGTGGGACTGTTCCCAATGTTGCTCCACTGCAGCCCCAGGCCTTGCTCCTCAAAGCGAGCCAGGTACTCGGTGCCAAACCCAAAAGCCACAGGAGACAGCAGGCTCTACAGTGGGGCAAAGAGGGCATGAAAGATGAGCAGAGGGTCTGTTTTCCCAACCCAACAGAGCCACAGGGTAGGAGGAGGACCAAAAGTGGGTCCAGGTTGTATCCAGGTGTGAGACCACCCCAGGGAGGGGTTAAGGCAGTCCTCCCACTGGAAGATAATTCTGGGAATGCCTCTCAGGCCTCAGGGACACGTGCCCAGTCCCCAGCAGGCCACCTCTCACCTGTCCAATGGAACACGGTTGTGCACTAGGGAGGACACACACCACATACCATAACACAGCAAAGGATCAAAAGTCCTCATGTTCATCTTCCTTCCTTCCCCCCTTCTTCCTATCTATTTCTTAAGATCACACAGTTCTTGGTAGAGCAAAGAAGTTAACTTGAACTGCTTTGTGAGAGTCCCATCACAAGCGTCCATAAAGTCATCCATGTCCTAGGGCAGGCTAGGGGACCAGGCAGGGGATGGGCTCCCAACTTCCTGAGCTCTGTCAGGCTAGAAAAGCCTCAGGTTACATTGACTATCACCTTTTCCCATCTCCAGGCTGGGGATGATCATTTTCTTAGGTTCTCTGTGGAAGCTGAAGTAACTGAATACATGGCATGCAGAAGGAAGACTGAAGAGGAAGTTCCCCAGTCAAGTCCCTGTGGGTGGTCCCTGGCATGGCAGAAAGCACACAGGCACATGAAGGGGTTGAGTTAGTCCCACTTCCTCTGTTGGGAGGTCTCCCTGTAGTTCGCAGGACCCAAGGTGGGGTTCACAGTATCTCTCTGCAGAAGGAAGGAATTCTCTAGCTATATGTTCACAGAAACTTTTTTGAAAATCTCAGCCCAGCCCTGGTCCACGAGCTGCCAGAACTGCAGCTTCCTGGTGGAGCCACACAGGCAAGAAACTAGCCATGCCTTCAAGGTACCAGCTGTCTACGCAGTATACAGAGATAGCTCTGCCCACGGGCTGAGTCATAAGGATTTCTTGCCCATTGTGATCACGTTAGAAAACTGAGTGCCATAAATTATAGCAGCTAATTTTTACTTAACAGGAGAAATAAAAGGCAGATGCCTGGCAGCACTAGAACTAAGTAAGTTTGAGTCGTGCGAACAGGTTAGACTGAGATCTTCCCCGAGGAGAGGCAAGC